ATATATTAACTAGTTATGGTTTGGCCCTTCCATAACTTACACATAGTTAAAAACATCATGTTTTACCTGATGAATGTGTATCTGTTTTTGTCATTTTAACAGATGATAGTAAGAACAAAAAGTGAAAGTTTCCAATCTATCTTAATCACCTTAATCAGGTAAAAGTGAGACTCTGAGTATAACTTAATCTGAGGCCCAAAGCCTGCAATATTTTCACTGTTATAATAGGCTTAAGAATTTGGTAAGTCTCTCCTGTCAAGGAGAGCCACTACATTAAAAAATAAATAAAAATTCTTCCGCTGCCATTTCTTGACCAATTACAGCTGTATTCTTGGTCTCTGCTGAAAGAATTGACTGATAACTTGACTGGACTGAGAAGATCAGTAAAAAATACCACTGGATGTGTCTTTGAGGAAATTTCAAAGCATAACTAGCTAATTAGGGCTCTGACCTTATTAAGTTTAATCCATGGAAGGATTCAAAAGTTCAATAGAACCTCGCTACTCAGAAAGCTGAGATCTGTGGAATGTGTCCACCTGTCCAGCCAGGACAAAGTCCATGAGATTGTTATCTCCTACTAAATGCCAAAAAGTGGGAAGTGGAGGTGTGGCTCAAGTAGTAGAGCACTAGCCTTGAGCAGAAAAGCTCATGGACAGTACCAGGCCCTGAGTTCAAGCCCCAGGACCAACATCAAAATACAAAATGAAGTTAAACAGACCATTAAGAGTTGGTGAACAATAGAACTTAGTTGGAGCAAGTGAATAGCAGAAAGTGTGTCTCCGCCCCTCATCTCCATCTCCTTCCTTTCCAGCTGCCATGAGGTTCAGCTTTCTTCTGTCAGTCCATTCCCCGTATGATGTTTCTGCCTTGCTACAGACCTAAAAGCAATTGGAGCCAGCCAACCATGGACTAAAACCTCTGAAACCATCAGCCAAAATAGATCCTTCCTCCTTTAAATTGTTTCTGTCAGGTATTTGTCCCAGTACAGAAATGTCTGACTAACCCAAGTACTGAAGCTCAACTAAAATCAAGTATTTTCACCATAGTAACACAACTAACAGGATTCCTCCTGGATCTACCTGGTTTCTAAGCCCATGGCTGGATCGCTGTGTTGCTCTGCTTTACTGGGGCACTAAAGATCCACACTGCTAAGTTCACAGATGCTCTCTGTCACACTGAAAACCAGTGTGCATTACCACCAAACCATCCTTAATGCAGTCAGCTTTACCTACACATAGCCCTGTCTAGCCACCAAATACCATATTTCATACCCATTTTCAAACCCGTGAGAGTATCCCTGGGAACAATGTTTTTTTCTCCTTTTAAATCTTGAAGTTTCTTTAAAATAATTGTAAAGCTTGTTCTTAACTTACTGAATCAGGGGGAAAATAAGCTTTGATTTGAATCTGCGTCTCTTGTGGGGATCAATGAGATTATAAAATCTATGAACACTTCAGAAGAAATTTTCTGAAGCCAACAGATGAAACTATTTTGGGAAGCTAGTGAGATGCATTCTTGAAATCAAAAGATTCAGACATCATTCTAACTTTGCCAAAAAGTCCTAGAATTTTCTGTGCATTCTCATTCCTGTTCTTTTATGTACCCTACAAAAAGAACCTTATTATAATTGTTATTTTGGAAAATATTACCTGGGGTGTAACACAAGCTGGGTAGAATTCTATTTATAATTGCACTAGTCCTTAAGTGTTCAGAACTCTTTATAACCTGTCACAGAGCTTTCAATTGTCATCATCCACTCCTCTGGGTTTTCTAAAGCATATTAAGTGTATTTTTTGTGGCTATGAGTAAGATAATAGTTAGAAATGACTAAAAGATCTTTGCAATATGAATTCCAAATTCTTGCCCAGACAGTCTTGATTTAATTGGTTCACATCAAAAGCTGCCATTTATTAAGAGACAATAAAAGTTAGATCTTATTAAACTTCTAAATCAGCTATAACTTAAATTCTAACAACACTAATATTATTAGTAATACTGTGGTCAGTATTATAATAAAAATATTATAACACTGAAGTCTATTCCTGGTTCATTTTTATTATGCACATATAATAAGATGTTAAGTAAAAAAGCAGATTTAGCATTTCATAATAATTTATAGAAACTGTTCAGTTTCAAAAAGGTACTGAATTACATGTATCTCACAAATATAACAAAGCAGACAGAAAGAAAAAGAAATCTTAAACAAGTAAAAAAATTCACTGGTAAATATATGTTGAGTTTTTGCACAGCTATTAGATGGAAGATTTGTTACTGCAGGAGAAATCTGAGGGCCTCTAGCCTTTTTTATCTATTTAGGACAAACCTGAGAGCATAAAGAAACTTGTGTGTTAGGTTCACAGGAAATCTGAGAGCATCTTGCAGGTTTCATAATTTTCTATTATTCTGCTGTGACATTCTACACACTCAATTCACTATAAGTGATATCTTAAAAAAAAAACTCCTTCTGATTGAACACTATTGTCTCTCTAAAGCTTATGGAATCCAATGCAACCCTAAGTTTTGAAAGTGATCCTTCACAAAATCTTCCACTCCTAATATTAGAGAAAAGACCTTCCCAAGGTGATACAGAGTCTACTCATCAACTTCGGAACCCATATTTGAGAATAAGAGCCAGCCTAGGACATAAGCAATACATCAGTAATATATGCTTCCTGAGAATACAGTAGGTAATAAATACACACTGACTGGTTATTATATGAAATCAAGTTCATAATGTGGCAGGAAATAAAATTTTACATCTTAAAAATTATAAAGCCTATTTGTGAGGTGTTTACTCTTTCTTAAAACAAAATCACACTTGGTACCAACACAGAAACAAAAACAACCAACTCGCCAATGTACATTGATTGATGCCTGGTTGCTGAGGACAGCTAAAAAGTAAATAAACAGATATATTTGCTTTCTGTGACTGATGTACAATGTCCATCTTTTAGAAAATGGAGATTTAAGTAGAAATAAATATTAAACATTCTCTTTTAATTAACCAGGAAAAGATAGTGACTCTTAGAGACTACTTCTTAGATATTGTCTAATTACCAATTATCTAATTGGCTGATTGTCTCACATTAAATGTCTAGCACTGCAGGTTTCTACTTGTGATAGCTCAGGCATGACAAAGAAAGCTAGAACACTAATCAAACTTTAAAGACTTTGAAAGTTGTAGGAGCCCTCCTATGCTATTATTTATTAGAAGTGGTAGGTCCTGAAAAGCTTTGCAGGTCCTCACATTAGCAGCCTGAAATAACTGTTTCCATTCCACACGGATTAACAAATCAGAGATAAGACTCAGTAATAATAATGATAAAGTAGTTTAGTTCAAATGTCCTTTTAAACATGCCAAAATAATCAGAGATAGAAAACAAGATAATGCACAACCAAAAGGCTTATCCTAATAACACTTTCATTCAATGTCTCACAGGTATTTCTTCGATTAGGACAAAAAAAATTTTGGTCATTTTTTTCAAATGACCAAAGGATTCAATATCCAAGCCCTCAACTCCAAAACAAAAAAAATCTTCATGTTAATAAAGATCGACATTTTATTTGCCACAATTAAAAACACTAGTTTTAAAAATAAAATGACAATTATTTTTGGTCAGTCGTGAGGCTTGAACTCTGGGCCTGAGCGCTGTCCCTCGGCATTTCTGCTCAAGACAAGCACTCTACCACTTGAGCCACAGTACCACTTCAGACAGTTTTTATTTAAAAGAAAAAAAACAGAAAAAAAATGGCATTCAAAGTTGTCACAACCTGTCAGTCTCCTCCTCTGCCATCTGTGGACTTTGGTGGCACTGTCCATGGTGACACATACTGGCAGTATCAGGGAATAACAACACTTGAGAAACACCCAACTTTTATTTTATTTCTATTTCTTGGCGGCAGATGTGCTGAAGCGCTTGCGTGTTGCACAGCCAACTCTTTAGTAATTATAAGCTGTATTTCTTTGGAAGCCACAGCCCCAAAATAGCAAAAGAAAAATCTGGATAGCATGAAGAAGAAGGGAAGAAAGATGCTTTAATCCCTCAAGCACATTACAGCAAATTCCATTTTGATTCTGCCTTCTTCCCTGTGTGTAAGTTTAGCCTTTTATACATGGCCAGCTATCTGACAGAAGTTCCTATTATAGCCCCTCTCTGCCAGCCAATTCTATCTTTTAAAGCTTGGCTGCATCAAATTTAAAGGGTTGCTTCATTAGGGTTGCTTTGGACTGCACAACACATTTGAATATATAGGCATTTGTGCATAGCCTAAGTCATTTGATTCCATACAACAACAAAAAAAAAGTTGCAAAATCCTAGTTAATTGTGAGGGGTTATGCTTTACTGGAAATACTTCCAAAATAATTTCAAGAGGATATTATTCGCTTTTCCTTATCTTTGGTGGGGAAGGAAAAATGGTCATTTTTTTTATTCATAAGGAATCTTGCCTCAAATAGTGTGTGTTGGTGGTAGGTGAAAAATACTGAGTGGTCTTCATTTTTCCACAAAATTACCTTCATTAAAGAGGGGGGAAAAATCCTTCTGCAGCGGGGGACCGATTGTACCTGAAACTTTCCTAGACCAAGGTCTTTAACTAAGATTAAGCTATCCGGCTTCTTACCTAAATCAATTTCACCCCAACGAGGCGTTCTGTGTTATAATTCATTATTCCCCGGGCTCTTAGAATCAACCATCTGCCATTGGAGTTTCTGTTCGGTAATTAAGGAGCTATCCATTAGAACTGGCAAAAGTACAAAGTACCGGGCGGGGAGGGGGGGGGTCGGCGCGGAGAGATGGAGGAAAAGAGAAGAGAAAAAAAAAGGCCACTTCAAAAGCGATGGGAACACACACACACACACACACACACACACACACACACACACACACCTCTATAACTCAGCCCAGGCCATCCACGGGCAGAGGCACAAAGTTAGCCAGAGTGGCCAGGCCAACTCCTCCAGGATTAAGAGGACCCGCACCGTGCGCGCGCGTGGAGCCTACCTTGAAAGAGAAAGGCTTTGGTCCCATTATGCAACCCCGGGACCTGGCGCACTCCGGCCGTGGCCTCCCCGAGCTCTAACTCCGCGAGGACGTCGATCTGCAGGGAGGGGTCCACACCAAGCCCGCAGGCTGAGGGAGAGAGAGAGAAATTGGGGGGAGAGGGGGGTTGCTCCATGAACCCTGCGCGCTCCGAGGACACTGCCGGGAGGGGTGGGGACAGGCCCCCTGCCCACTCCCGCCCCGCCGCCGCCGAGAGCCAGCCTCACCTGCGACACCCCCAACCCCCACCCCGTTCCCCCCCCCCGCCAGCCAGGCTGAGAGTCTCGGGGCGCCATGACCTACTTGACGCCCCTTTCGGGGTAAAGTTTCCCCTTCGGATCCCCCCCGCCCCGGACCCTAGCCAGGGGCGTGACCCACCTTCTTGACACCCCGATGAACAACAATCATCTCCAGACCTACTTCGGGGTCGCGAGCAGCCAGGCGCACCCGCCTCCCCCCGCCCCGCGCGCCCCGGGCCAGCGCGGGGACTGTCCCCTCGCCGGTGCCACCCCGCTCCGCCCTGCGGCCACGCGCTCACCTGCTCCGAGACCCACGATCAGACAGAACGTTCTCAGCAACACCCGAGGCTCCATGGTGCGGATCTGCTCAGTCCATCGTCTCCCTCTTTAAAGCATAAAAAGGAAGAAAAAACAATACAAGATCGATGGGGATCTGGCGATGGGGGGGGGGGGGAATGCTGTGTGTTTTTTTCCGTCTTCTGCCTGAGATTCGCAGGATGGGGGAGAGAGGGGGAAAAAAACACCCGAGGTGATGGCCTGAGCGAGAAAAGGGGAGCCCCGAGCCCCCGAGCGCGTGCGGAACTTCGGAGCCTCCGCCGCGCACCTCCGCCTCCCGCACGCCGGCAGCCGGGGAGGGGCCCGCGGGGAGGGGCGGACCCACCCTGGACCGGCGCGGCCCGGCCCCGCCCGGGAATCCCAACCCCGGCAGCGGAGAGCGAAGCCCTCCCCGCGTCTCCCCCCCCTCCCCGAGAAGGCCCCGCACCGCACCGCACCGCACCCGCCGCCCGAACCTGTTGTAAGGCGGGCAGAGACAATGGAGAGAGCGCGGAGACGCGCGCGGAGCAGAGACGGCTCCGGGAGGGAGGGGGAGGGAGGAGGGAGGGCTGAGGCGGAGGAGGGAGGGGCCGCCAGAAGGAGGCCCGAACCCCGGGATCCCGTGTGGGATCCTCGATTCCCAACCGGGTCCGGAGGACGCCCCTCTCCCCCCCCCGCTCCCCCCTCCCTCCCCGCGCCGGCCTCCGCCCTCTCTTCCTTTTCCCTTCTCCGCCTGACCCCGCAACGTCAATCTCCTTTTCCGGATCCAACGTCTAAATTCCAAGGTGCTGAGTTGATGGGTGGTCTCGGTGCTCACCCCCCCGCCCCCTGCGCACCCCTGGATTTCGGGGCGCGTGTCTGGAAGGGGGGGTGGGAGAGAGAAAGCGCGAGCGAGCAGGGACCACCCAGTCGCCGGCGGCAAGGCTGTGAAGGGGCGCTAGGCAGACCGCCTGCCAGGCAAGGAAGGCAAGCCCGAGGATGCTGGCCACAGGTCCTGGAGCCGCCCGGGGCGCCGGGCACCCACCTCCCGGCGTGGGAAGGACCGCGGCCGCGGCGCGCTCACCCGCCCGCCCCTCCCCCGGCGGAGCTGGAAGAAGGGAGGCTGGAGCAGACCCGTGGCTAGCGCGGGGGGTCCCTCGATCCCCACCGGAGAGGTTCTCTGCCCGGGGTGCGGCGCTGGAGAGCTTCCCCGGCTCCTGGAGCGCTGGGGAGAACTTAGCCCGCAGCTGCCGGACAGCTTCGGGACCTCGTGCGCCCCCTGGCCGAGCCTAAAGTCACGCAGTCAGCTTGAGCTCTCCAAAACCAGCACGAGGGAGTCAGGGAACAGAGCCAGGGACCCTACCCATACCTAAAAGATAGATTAGATAGATAGATAGATAGATAGATAGATAGATAGATAGATAGATAGATAGATAGATAGATAGATAGATAGATAGATAGATAGATAGATAGATATAGATAGATGCATACATAGATTGATAGATATCATAAGTTGATAGATGATAGTATCATAGATACATGGACACAAATGGATGAAAGGGGGGGAGGCAAGGAAGGAAGGAAGGCAGGCAGGCAGGCAGGCAGGCAGGCAGCAAGCAGGCTCTACCTGCCTTTCATCATACACTTAGGATCATTTAAAGTGAATTCAATTGTGGTCTATGTCTTGCGAAGTAAAAAGTACGTTCAAGGTCAATGTTTTTTTTTTCCACAATAGCCCTAAAATTTTTAGGAAAGACAACTTCCATTTTGAAAAGTTAAATGTCTCAAAAAGTAGTTAACATGTTCGTCTGTACCAATAATTTCTTAACCCTTCTTCCAAACAGGTAAGATTCTGACTTTTTCCAACTGGATCCTACAGAGAGGCACTATTACTAAAATGCTTACCCGGGAAGGATGAAGTCAAGGGGAGGGAAACAGATGGATGAATAAAGGTGGGAGAATACAGCTATAATATTCAGTATACATACGTGAAAATGGAACCAGGTAACTTGAGGGGAGAGGTTGGGTTTGGAGAGGTGGACAAGAATGATGGAAGAGGTAACACTGGTCAAGATGCATTGTGCTCATAAACAGACGTGAAATTGTAAACCCTTTGTACAACTACTCAAAGATAATAATAACAATAATAATGCTTACTTGGTAGTTTGTGGTTCAGGGTATGAGACCACACAGACATAGAACTAGAAATGTTCTAAGTTCTGTAGTGTGCTACAAATGCTTCATTTCTATTTCCCATAAGGACCAATTTCCACTAATGACATGCTGCCTTTCTACCATATAACATGTTCACACCACTTCAACTTAGCACGCTATTTTCATCTTGCTTTGGGGGCACCATTTGCTTTTGGGGAGTCAGATTTTCAAAAAATTAAGGGCAAGGAGACCTCAGATCATACACTATTTCAATACAACGAATCACAACACTGGATTCACAGAGCTTTGCTACATCAACTGAGTGTGTGATGTGCATGCTGTGATTTAAATTTGTGGCCTCTGGAATTTCTTCTAATTTCCTTTTTTTTTTTTTTTTGCAAACCTGGAGCTTGAATTCAGGGCCTGGGTGTTGTCCCTAAGCTTTTGTGCCCAAGGCTGGCACTCTACCATTTGAGCCACAGCTCCACTTCTAGCTTTTTCTGGTGATAAATTGGAAATAAGAGTCTCACAGACTTTTTCTTCCCAGGCTGGCTTTGAACCATGATCCTCAGATCTCAGCTTCGTGGGCAGCAAGGGTTACAGACATGAGCCATTGGCACCCAGCATCATTTGTATATTTAGTTCTTAATGGCAATTAGTCAAAATCACATATTTTAAAAAGACCTATGAATGTCTCACTTATGACATGCTGCAAGCTAATGGTCAGTAGACTTTTCCACAAATACTTAATGCTCCCCCTAGAAGAGTAGACTTTTCTACCCCAAGTTACTACTTCTGAGCCTGCTACTTTAACTAATTCAACATACTAAAATATTAGGGAAACCAATGAAATAGGAGCACAGAGATAAGGGACAAAGCTATTCGGGATCAAACTAAAGTACAAAGGGTAGAAAAGCAGAAGAAAGGTGAGTCACTTCATTAGGCAAAGCAGAGGTTCTCGGCCTTGGGTGTGCTTACACTTGTGTGTAGGTAATGCTCTTTCTGGACCTTGAGAGATGATTGGTAACATTCCAGCTCTGTCCCCAGAGGTAACAGTGTCTTCAATGTCACATTTCATCTGTATGCCTTTCTGCACCATTTTAAACAGAATTCCAGGGAATAGCATATACACACTCAACCTTGGAGTTTCTACTTGCAAAGCTTGTTACTACTTCAGGTGGAATACAGAATCACTCCCACCAGATAGTCCTTGAAGCCTCACCTCTTTTGATTGTGGCTGTCCCCTAGGCATTATATCGACACACATTAAACTCTTTTATCCAGTCGCCCATGGCTCATGCCTATAATCCTAGCTACTCAATAGGCTGAAATCTGAGGATTGTGATTCAAACCCAGCCTGGGAAGGGCTTGAATAAGAGACTCTAATCGCCATTTAATCAGTAAAAAAAAAAAAGCTGGAATTGAAACAGTGGCTCAAGTGGTGGAGTACCAACCTTGAGAAAAAAAAAAAAAAAAAGCTATGGGACAGCACCCAGGCCCTGAATTCAAGCCCCAGTGCTACAGTGCGTGTGCGTGCACACACACACGCACACGCACCCGCGGGCGCGCGCACACACACACACACACACACACACACACAATAACCACACAAAAAAAAAAAACTCCTTTAGAAAATATTCAGAAATCAGCTGGTCACTGGTGGCTCACGCCTGTAATCCCAGCTACTCAGAAGGCTGAGATCTGAGGATCGTGGTTCAAAGCCAGCTGGGGCAGGAGAGACTGCGAGGCTCCTATCTCCAATAAAACCACTAGAAAACCGGAAGTGGCACTGTGGCTCAAGTGGTAGAGCACTAGCCTTGAGCTGAAGAGCTGAGGGACAGCGCCCAGGCCCTGAGTTCAAGCCCCACGACCGACCAAAAAAAGAAAGAAAGAAAATATTCAGAAATTTTATTTTCAATAGCCATGGTAGATGTAATATCCCTTTCTCTTTTCCCATTTAAAAAAAAAAAAGCTTTTCCATATCCAAAATCCTAGAACCTACAAATCCACTTTCCGTAGCAAAGGGAATTAAAGACAGCAAATGAAAGGCTGGAGTGTGGCTCAAATGGTACAGCACACTTGCCTTGCAAGCCTGAGCCAAGTTCAACCCCTAATCCTGTACATGAAATTATGTTTACTGAGCCTCTGACCTCTGACCTTGAAATACGGAGATCCTCATGGATTATGTGAGTGTACTTGGTATAAGCACAAAAGTGCAAGAGGGCAGCAGAACAGCAAGAAATGCAATATGAGAAGAACTTGACTTCTTGTCACTGCATGTGAGGTTGGAAGATTCTAGAAGACCTATGAGCCAATGCATTTGGGTACTCTCCAGAAAAGAATCAAAGTCATATTCAGATCTCAAGTAAGAACATGGTGCTGCCAATAACTTGATTTTTAGCCCCAAGACACTGTAGTTCAGAGGCAAATCCATGCATCTGTATTGCTTTAATCCACTACACTCTTGGTAATCTTACCATATGTGTAGAAAATCACTACAAATATTAACCACAAAATGAAAAGAGCAGTCAAAATGGTTGACTCTCCTGGCCTCTAGGGCCCATCCTTCTGTCATAAGCACAAATCAATGTACAGTGTTTTTATTGGTAAATGAGCTCCTCGTGAGGAGAAAAGAAAGTCCCTGGATGTTAGAAGAGCAAAACTGGTGAGTGGCAGATAAACCTGTAGATGATGTCATGACAGAGACAGTAAGACACGAGCGTTTATATTTTCCACAGGAGGCACCATGATGAGGGAGAATTTAACGTCCATACCAGAACTGGAAACAACAAATTATGACCCATTGGAGGGGTTTTTTTGTTTTTTCTTTTTTTCTTTTTGTTGGTCATGAGGCTTGAATTCAGGGAAGGAAAGAAAGGAGAGAGGGAAGCAGGAAGGGGGGAAAGGAGGGAGAGAGGGAATAGTCCACGTCTTTCGCCCAACAAGAAAGGACTGTATTAGAATTCCAGTCAATACGATGAGGCAAGAAAAATAGTCATTCATCTTACAAAAGAAGAAATGATGTCTCCTCTAGATGATATGGTTACCCCACTTAAAATTTCCCAAAGCATCTTTGCAAAAGATATCAGAACCAGTAAGTGAGTTTAACAAGGCTGCAGAATATATCAATATATAGAAATCAATGGTAAGTCTCCAGGAATCATTGAAAATATAAACGAACTACACCATAGTGGCATTCAAAGATGCCTATGCCAAAGGGTACAGTGGCTCATGCCTGTAATTCCATCTACTCAGGAAGTGGAGATTGGAAAGATTGCACTTTGAGGCCAGAAAGACTCCATCTCAATCAGTAGGTTAGGGGTAGTGTTTTTCTGTAAGCTTAACCAAGAAATGGGGGAGGGGAGGGAAGAAGGGACTGGAGGGAGGGAAGGAGAGAGGGAGGGAGAGGAGAGGAGAAAGAAAAAAAGGGAAGGAAGGAAGGAAAAGAAATCTAGAAAAATAAGGGTATGTTCTCACACAAAACAATAGGACTTTGCTAAGTGGAATTGGCAAATTCCATTTGCTATGGAGTAAGGCTTAAATGAGTGAAAATGTCTACCATGTTCATGGATAAGATTTAATATTTTATGGTATCCATTTTCTTCATTTTGATCTAAAGATCCAAAATGTTCCTACCCAAAATCCCAGTAGGTTCTTTAGTAGTTACTGAAAGACTAACTACAAAATCTATATTGTTTTTCCACATAGGAAAAAAAATTTTCTTGAGAACAAAATTAGAAGACTCAAACTACCTGACTTTAAGACTGTACAGCTATGTGTACGGACATATAAATTAATGGGAAAAGAAAGTGAGTATAGAGATACACACACACACACACACACACACACACACACAGGCTTAAGTATTATTTTACAAAGCACCAGGGCATTTCAATGAGTAATGGACAATATTTTTAACAATGGTACTTGGACACCTAACTAGTCCATACACAAGGGGGGGGATGGAAGGAGGAATATAGACCTTCACCATGTGCTATATACACAGTAATTAATCTAGAACATATTTCAAAGCTTCAGTGGGAAAGCTAAAATACAAA